ACACACACACACACACACACACACACACACACACACACACACACACACACACACACACACACACAGACCAGGGGAAACTGTAAATGACAGACATGGTTTCAGGCTGACAAATCTGATACATCTCCCCTTCCCCCCTCTCTCTGTCCAGGGCATAGAGGACATGAATTTGAGGGCGGGACATTTGGCCATGTTTCTAGGTGACTACAACCTGGCCCAGGACCTGTATCTGTCCTCAGGCTGCCCAATCGTTGCCCTGGAGGTAAAATCGTAGACACTATTTATGTGTGCATGCGTGAGAACATGTGACAAATAGTTATTACTTATTTCTTTTAATCCAGTAAAAAATGGAATTAATATTAGTGTGCGTGTGTTTTTTTTAGATGAGGAGAGACCTGTTGCATTGGGACAGCGCTCTTATGTTAGCTAAGAGGTTAGCAGAAGCCCAAATTCCCTTTATTTCCAAAGAATATGCTGTCCACCTGGAGTTTATGTGAGTACACACACACACACACACACACACACACACACACACACACACACACACACACACACCATCTGATCTATCTACACTGTATTAACTGCTCTCTTTCTCTCTTTGTAGCGGTGACTATGTGAACGCTCTAGCACACTATGAAAAAGGCATGACCCAGAATAATAAGGTGAGTGCGATATATTTAATCTCAGCCTCCTGCAAAGATAACAGCATCACACGTTTTAAACCTTTTGCTTTTTCTGTTGCCATTTGAGATTTGTCCTATCCATACAACGTGTGACCTAACTAGCTGGTTAGCTTTTTGTTAACGCTGTTATGATAAGGAGATACTGTCGAAAAACAGATTTGTACTGATGTAACTGATGATACATTTCAGATTTTTAGGGATACAAAATGATTTATTATGTTCATTCAATGGCATGGGAAATCCATGTTTATGGTGTGACGCTCCCTAGTTAAGAATAACACAGAGAGTACAGAGTGTTTTTTCCAAAGAATACATTAAGGTTCCAGTCTGAGTAATGATATAAAATCATTTCAATTGAACTTTCTTTGAATCAACTCCGACATAGCCCCTAATCCCATTTGAAAATGTTAAAGAATACTCTGCACTTTTACATTTTGTTTGCAAAAAAACTACTTTATTCACACTTGACTATCCGCCTATTTGCCCATTCAAGGTTTCAGTTTTTTATTGTCTATTTTTTTTCTTTCGTTGTGGGTTTCTCTCCTATTTCAAGTCCTCCCGACAAACACAAGCAAGTGGTCAAGAACCGTGCTTCATCTGGGGAGAACATGAAAAAATATGCTCGACTCGTGAAAGTTCTGGCACGCCTCAAGACTTATGACAAGTAGAGAAGACCAAAGCGTGTGTATAGTACTCCGAATGACACACAAGGTGTCATTGATACTATAACAAAAAGAAATTTTTGTAGCGTTTTGGTATATTATTATTAGTTACTATTATTACAATGAAAATATCTCAAAAGGACTACGAGTTCTCGAAAAAGTTCGTTGCATTTCTTCTTTTTATATGTTGTCTTCATTTCCAGATTCGATGGCCACCCATCCCCCCATCCGCCCCAATCACTATCCCGTAATTTCTCGTTTCTCACTTTTCCAAACTCAAATCTCCCTCACAGACCTTCTAGCCTACACCGACCCCTCCCTCAAGGTCTCCTCTTCTTTCTCTCTCTTCTCCCCCCCCCTTTCGCACTTATCATTCGCAAGCCCTTTATAGAAGGTTTCCAGGATATTGTAACAAAATTGAAACTGGGTCAATAGTCAAGTTTGACAGCTGACTCGTTGTGCGTGGACATTGGCCCGACGACACTGAGTGTCGCCCAGACAGGGGGACAAGGACCGGCAACCGCAGTCGACTATCCTCCACAATAGTAAGAATGGAACAATACGTGTTGCAACTAATAAGAGAGACTTGATCGTATTTATGTACCCAGACCACATGCTCAAGAAGTCTTAACTTTACCGTTGAGATGCCTTCAACCTTGGAGACTGAGACCTGAACAAAAACGACTTAAGAGGCGGCTTCGAGGATTTATTTGGGTAGTATAGTAGTCTTCAGGTCGAAGAGGGGCACAGAGGAAAACTCGAGTCACTGAGGTGACGTAACGATGGTGTCTTCAAAGGGGGTGCCCATTTCTCAAATTTCGTTATCGCACAAACTACCCCTCGACAGCCTCCAGTACCTCTATCCCACTAACCAGGCTGCAGCCCCTCCACTCGTACGTCCGTCGACTCAAAACCTGTATAACTTCAGAAACTCCTACAACGCCCCTTGGTATTCTTACGACAACGTTCGCAAGATTGACTCCTTTCCGACGAGAGAATGGAAGTAGCGAGAGGTGGGCGGAGGTGTAAGGAAGTAAAGTCGTGAGACGAGGCCCACGCCTCCCGGGACGTCGCCGAGGAGGAGTTGGCCTACAGGGGGTAGGGACTAGGCCTGTAGGACCGCTGCGGCCGAAATGTGCGGAGCAGTACGAGGCACCCTTGACGAGGGCGGTCTCCTCATAAAACGTACATAATTTATTTATGAGTTATGTTATAATAACCCGAAAAAAATTNTTTTGGTGTTTATCTACGGCGGGATCCTGAGTCGTGGCTGTGCCTATTGCTGTGGTCCTGGATGGATATCCTCGTGGATTCATCTTCCTATTATACACACATGCATTTCCAAACATTTGGTCTACCTATGTTGCAAATGTATTATCTTTTCAATTTACACACGGCATCTATTGCACGTCTGTCCGTCCTGGGAGAGGGATCCCTCCTCTGTTGCTCTCCCTGAGGTTTCTCCCATGTTCCCCTTTAAACTGTGGGTTTTCTCTGGAAGTGTTTCCTTGTACGATGTGAGGGTCTAAGGACAGAGGGTGTCGTATTGTCATACTGATATTCTGTACAAACTGTGAAGCCCACTGAGACAAATTTAACAAATTTTGATATTGGGCTATATAAATAAACATTGATTGATTGATTGATTGATTGATGCCGGAAAACTTCACAAAAATGTTTGTCCTAAAGACTAAAAGCTTTTTTTGAATGCTATTCCTTGGGATATATCATAGGCTTTTGTTTGTCTTGTATCACTTTGAAGAATCCATACAGCTTTTGAAGGGAATATATTTCAAGCCCTTTTCAAGAACTTACCAAAAGTCTTTATCATGAAACCTTAATGGCTACTATAAAAGCTTTAATGTCAAAGGTTTGATGACGTTTGATGATGTTGGGAGATGCCACGACACAACAACAGATATGAATATATATTTAGCATTTTCTCATAAAGTTAAAACAACTATCATTCATCATTATGGCGAACTTGAATGAAATCTGCTTATTTGATTTCAATCATTTGTTTTGGAAAAAAGAAAGAAAGATGTATTTCTGTTAGGCTTAATGAAAGAATTCGGACTGCAAATTGAATGTGAATGCAAAATGTTAGATTTCAGATGGCAAGGAGCCATTGAATGAAAGGGGCTGTGTGTCAGACAGAGCTCTTTTACTGATAACAGCACAGACAACTGGACCTGCTCTTTGTGTTAACTCTCTTATCTATGGTGACACACCTACAGATCAGCTGTAGCTCAGCCGGTGATCAATACTGATACTCCCCTCAGTGAGACACAGTGTTTCTGCAGGGCTCAGGCAGGGGGCCAACTCCTGAAACATGATTTCAGTTTGTCGATGTATGATTCATGCATGCCAGTAATTCATCACAAATGTAAGGGTGCTTATCATCATAGCTCATTGTGAGCACCATTGTCTTTTCAATGAGTTCCAATGAGAACCGAGCAAATGCAGTCGTATGAGGCCGCCATTAGGAAAAGCGTCGCTGCGTCTCTCTTCTGAGCACCCTGCTTTTTGTGTGCAGACGTTCTAGTGCTTCGAATTCAAAATATTTAAACTTCATAGAAAAGCACTCGGGACATATTTGAAGCAATTTGAGGAAAGCATGTTTGTTCTGTGTCTTTCCGACAGAATCCATGCAAAAATCTAATATGTATGAACAGATCAGCTGGCGGACCCTTGATGTTGCAGAGTGTTGTGCAAAAAATACCAATAAACTGTACAACATACCACCCCCCCCTGCAGAGTACACATATTGGCTGCACTGTAACATGCTGCAGTCGCTCAGTCCGTAGGGACCTGGCGGGGAAGGGAGGGTCTCCGGTTCCCAAGTGCTTGTCCTGTTACCTGGAGCGTGAGCTGCCTAGAAAGCCATGATTATGTTCACACACTGCTGACGAGACACATTAAAAAGTCATTAGGATTCTTTCGCCTCACGCAACATGAAAGTAATTAAGTGTATGCCGACACACTTCTTTTAAGGAAGTTACATTTGTCTAGCTCAGTGGTCACCAACCTTTTTAAGCCCAAGATCACCGACCTCGGCCTAGGTGAAAGGCGAGATCTACCTATTGCAGAATTGAGTGAAAAAGACGGCCCAGACAATGCTTCCAATTTGAGGCCTTTTATATAGGCTAATGGCATCTGAATTACTGTTACAATGAAGGCTCCAAAATCAGCTCACGGCATGTAGGCAGGGGTAAAGTGCTATTGGGGGNGTGTGTGTGTGTGTGTGTGTGTGTGTGTGTGTGTCTTCATCCGTGTTTGAGCCTTATGTCAACTCTGTGTCTTTAAATGTGTGCTTGCTTGTGTGTGGATGTGTGTGTGATGATGGATCCTGTTTCCTCTCCCCTGCTGACGGCCCCCTCTGGCTTCCCCCGAGGTCTGCAGGCCCGCAGCACCACAGTCTGCTGGAGAGGAGCGCAGAAGGGCCTGTGTATGTGTTTTAACGTGTGTTTGTGTGTGTATGTTTGGGGAGGGTAAGAGGATGAGAGTCATGGGCTAGGCAGCTCACATGAGGAAATAGGAAGCCAAAAATAAGAGGATAAGGGGCTTTAGCAGGGGCCCTTAAAGTGAGAGTAGTCAAAGTCAGAGTATGTGAGGCATCATCAGGGGAGTCAGGAGTAGGAAGTGAGGTAAGGGGGTGAAATTAGGAAGCAGGGAGGTACACTAGGGGGGTCAGGGCTTGAATGAAAAGTACATTTGAGTGAAGGCAACAGAAGGAGCGTGGAGCTATACAAAACTACAATGGAGGTGAGCTCAGAAAAGGGAAAAGTTAAACGCTGGAATATTAGCTCGTCACCTAAATGAGTCATGTAATTAGGGAACATATGGAAATGTCATTACCTGAGGGGTTAAAATAAGTAACAAAGTGCCAGTCAAGCTACAGTATGTACATGAAGTTCTACACTGGAAGCGATTTAGCGTGTTAACGCCTGGATGCTGTTACAGATGTGAAACTTTTGATCAGGTAAATAACCAAGGGGCTTATGCGAGGGAGACTCACAAGGACAAGGTGGTAAAAAAAAGTCATGAAAAAGAGTGAGAAACTTGTGTGTGTGTGTGTGTGTGTGTGTGTGTGTGTGTGTGTGTGTGTGTGTGTGTGTGTGTGTGTGTGTGTGTGTGTGTGGTCGAGTCAGTAGCCAGGGACTCCAAGCCACAATATTTTCCCCTTCAGTCATGTTGTTTTATATCATTCTTTGAGAGGGAGAGAAGAACAGAGTGGGGTACTGTGTTGTCCAGATAAATACAGTAGTAAAGTGATGGATGAGGAGCGAGTGAAGAAGATCTGAAGGGTGAGTCCAAGGGTGGAGAAAGGGAGCGAGAGAGGGTTGTAGGAAGTGTTTGCTGAGTGGGTTGGGGTTGAGTACACAGAAGCTCTACTGACCTAGAAGGACAATATTTGCAGACCACACTTGACATGCACAAATACACACCCACATGTAAAAAGCGCACAGGGAGAAATACTCAACAACTCAAGGTTATTTACCAAAAAGGTGCAGCACACGCTGGCTCCTTCCTGTCACAGTTTGTGTGTGTCCTGTGATTTAACATCATAGGGAAGCTACAGTACAGTGCCTGGAGCAACATCTGTCTTATTTCTTTCTGCCAGAAAGACACATCTGTCAGATCCATTTCTACAGAACTCAATTTGTCAGAGGTTTATTGCAACTAGCGCTCCGACTAATGGCTATTTCTATTATCAAACAATCTGGAGATTATTTTCTTCATTAATATAGCAGTTTTCTATAAAGTCTTGACATATCCTGTTTTGTCCATCATACAAAACAATAAAAAACCAGCAAATCATCCGTGTTGAGAACCTTTAACAAGGTGTCTTGCTTGAAAAATGACAAACATATTATCCTAATAGTTGCTGCTGGTTACATTTTCTGTTAAACCACTAATCGATTTATCGTCAAAATGATAACTGGATCACTGATTCATACACAGATCAACAAGCTCCAGCTGCAGATATGTCTCTGGGGGCCTGATGGTTTATGGAAGTGTACTGAGGGACATGCTGCATCGCCAAATTACATTAATTTCCTGTGATTGTCTAAACTTTCTGTGTCTCGTTGTTTTTATTCCGTTATGAGATAACCCTGAGGGAAAGTTTGCCCTGTATTATTTTCTCTGTTCACATTCCTGTATGGCCAACCATCTCACCTCCATGCAGATTAAAACATAACAACGTGTTTTATCTGCTGCTGCCACTACCATGAGAGCCACACCTCTG